CTCCGATATCGGACTCCAAAAAAAACCCCAACAAAAAATAGGGCTGAGACGTGAGGCAATGGCTTGGCTGAAAAAGTAGGACAAGCTCAACCCAAAAAATACTTTGGGCTTGTGAGGGAGTATTAAAAAAGAGTTCCAATCCCTCATCAGTGTTGGGAGACTCTGAGTATCAATATATAAGCTTCATGAGCTACTCTCCTCATTGCCAGTTGGTTTTGAGGTGGAATCCCATAGGCTTCTGTAACTTGCACAACACGTAATCGCCGTGGCATCCAGTAATGCCATGAGCATCTGGATTGATGTTGTACTCGATCATATTAAATTTGGCATCGGTTATCGATGTTTCTTGTAACCTGAAAGACCTCTTGTATGAAATCATCAATCCATGGGCTACTTCCCTCATTGTCAATTGGTTTTAAGGTGAAACCCCATGGGCTTCTGTAATTTGCACAGCACGTAATCACCGTGGCATCCAGTAATGCCATAAGCATCTGGATTGATACTGTACTTGGTAATATTAAATTTGGTGTTGGTTATTGATGTTTCTTGTAACCTGAAAGTCCTCTTGTATGAAATCACTCTTGATGTCCCACCCTCATGCAGGGCCTCTTTTTCAGTGGTTGCGTGCCATGTTCTTCGGCTAATTAATACGGAAGATATTTAAACAGTGAATCACACCAACCTTGGTGATACGGGTAGGGTATGGGCTTTTCATCATTGTTCGGGTAAATATCAAAAACCTGTGATTTTTTGTCCAATCAATATTGCGATTCTCCCAAAGATCATCATCCATGTCAAGAGTAAATATTTCATCGCCCAAAGGCATGGTTGAGTAGAAAATATTTCGAAACCTAAGGCTTTACGCAGACAAAAGAGCCAAAATTGTGCTGTCTATTGACAAAGACAAGGCTGCCTGGACAAAATCCTTATATATTCAATAGTACACTTTCAATCTCAAGAAATGATCAGGAGCCTTAACCAATTTTTTGATCAACAAATCCACTAGTCTCAAAAAGAATAGTTGATCAAATAACACAAACGAAGAGGTTTGATATCAATGGATAAGTCTATGGGCTACCCCCCTCATTGCCAATTGGTTTTGAGGTGGAACCCCATGGACTTCTACATAGTATCAGAGCCAGCCCGCCAAGAGTCGGACTCCAAGCCTGATGTGATAGAACTAATAGAACTGGTAGCCTAATGTGATCTTCTTTGATGATTTTACTCATTATTGCTAGGTTTTCCCTCTAAGATGTAATCTGATGTCTTCTCTTGTTTTTCCGAATTTTATGCATATGTCAAAACTCAATTCAATGCCTCTATTCGCTGTATTCAATGTGATCAAGGTGTAGAATATGAAAATCACTTGTTCTGGAATTTTTTTAAAACTCATGGCATTCATTTTCGCTTGAGTACCACTGCTTGTTCTCAACAAAACAATAAGGTTGAACGCCTTAATCGTACTATTGTTAATATGATCCGTACCTTACTTTTTCAAGCATCTATGCCTCTAATTTTTTGGGTTGAAGCTCTCAACACTGTTACCTATCTTCTTAACCAGCTTCCTACACCGCTCATATCCCATAAGTCTCCTTATGAAGTTCTTTTTCGTACACGTCCATCATATGATCATTTACGTACGTTTGGTTGTGCTTGTTATCCTACCCTTTTTCATGCTGTTAAACACAATTTAGAATCTCGTTCCACCTTTTACATTTTTCTTGGGTATCCGAAACATCAGAAAGGGTACCGATGTCTTCATCTTGCTACTAATAAAATCATCACATCTCGTCATGTTGTATGTGATAAGAATACATTTCCTTTTTCTTCTGTTTCTTCCCATTTTCCCCCATCATCCTCATCTACCTCTTTGTTTCATTCACCTGGACCAGTGGTTTCTTCTGCTCTACTCCCTGTGTCTTTCCCTTCTTCCTCCAATTCTCGTGCTCAACTTGTACCTCCTCAAAGTAATCTTAATTCACCAGTTCCTACCTCTCCTCCTTCTCCCTCTCTCTCCTCCTTGCCCTTTATTTCGAGTCCTTGCCCTCCTCCGCACACTTCCGCTCCCATTCCAAGTCCTCCAGTTCCGAGTCCTCCTATCGTCATCATCCTATGGTGACTCGTGCTAAGGATGGTACTCGGAAACCCACGGTGATTTTTAGTTTAGCTAGTTCTGTCACTAACCCTCCTTTGTAGGCACGTACTACATTTCATGAAGCTATGAAACATGATGACTGGCAGCAAGCAATGAATGATGAAATTGCTGCCTTATCTCGTAATGACATCTGGACTCTTGTTCCCAAACCTTATGGGGTTAATGTAGTAGGCTCAAAATGGGTTTCTCGTGTAAAAGAAAAAGTTGATGGATCTTTAGACCGCTATAAAGCAAGGCTTGTGGCTCAGGGGTATTCTCAGCGGCCAGGTGTTGATGTTGGTGAAACTTATAGTCTAGTTATTTGTCGAGCTACTATTCGCACAGTATTGACTCTTGCTCTCTCTCGCAATTGGCATATTCATCAACTTGACGTGAAGAATGCTTTTCTCAATGGTCTCTTACATGAATTTGTGTATATCAAACAGCCTCCCGGGTTTATCTATCCTCAGCATCCTGATTATGTTTGTAAGCTCAATCGAGCTCTTTATGGTCTTAAGCAAGTACCTCGATCTTGGTTTCAGAGGTTTGGCTCCTTCATTACTTCCCTTGGTTTCTGCTCTTCTAAATCTGACTTATCTATGTTTTTTTATTGTAATGGTGAGGACATGGTTGTTCTGCTTCTTTATGTTGATGACATTCTTCTTACTGCTTCTACGTCGCTCATGTCTTCAATCATTGCTCAGTTGAGAAATGAGTTTACTATGACGGATTTGGGAGATTTGCATTATTTTCTTGGCATCTCGCTTTCACGTGCCCCTGATGGTCTCTTTCTGTCACAGTCGAAGTACATTGCCGCCCTTCTTGATCGTTGTCATCTTACTTCTACAAATCCTGCTATCACTCTTGTTCATACTAAAGCTAAATTATCTCAGCTTGATGGAGAGCTGTTTGCTTATCCATATGAGTATCATAGTATTGTGGGAGCTCTTCAGTATATTACTTTCACTCACCCCTGATATAGCCTATGTAGTGCAGCAGGTTTGTTTGTTTATGAATAAGCCTCGGGAGTCTCAGTGCCAAGACGTCAAGTGCATTTTGCGCTATCTGAAGGGTACTATTTCTCACGGTCTTCATCTTCATTCTGGACCTCTTGATAAGATAATGGCATATTCTGATACTAACTGGGACTGGCTGCCCGGATACTCATTGATCTACATCTGGTTATTGTGTCTTCTTTGGTCCCAATCTCATTTCATGGTCCTCTAAATGGCAACCTATTTTTTCTTGTTCTAGTGATCAGGCTGAGTATCGAGCAGTTGCTAATGTTGTTTCTGAAGTATGTTAGATTCATTCATTACTTTCGGAGCTGTATATTCGGTTGTCTACTGCTACCATAGTATTTTGTGATAATGTCAGCGCTGTTTTTTTGTCTACTAATCTTGTTCTGAATCAGTGTACCAAGCATGTCGAGATTGATATCCATTTTGTTCGTGAGAAAGTTGCTCAAGGGTCTATTCGGGTTCTTCATGTTCGTTCTTCTCACCAGTTTACTGATATAATGTGTAAGGTTTTACCTCATGTTCTTTTTATGGATTTTCGAGACAATCTGAGCATTCGTGTATCTCACCTTCCGATTGCCGGGGGTGTTAGTATATATGTAATTAAGACATTATTATTATTGTACATATATTATTGTACTATATGTATGTGTAATGCCAATACAATACCCATAAAGGATTTTCACACTTTCAACCAAAAATTGAATTGATATACATAATCAGTTTCTTCAACTTTGCAGATCTTTAAGCCATGTTAGAAACCCTGACAAACATGGAAGTGATAAGTTAATCAGTATATCCCCAACCAAATTACAAAATAGAACTAGTAGGAAATGAATTTTATTGATCAATTCCACCGAATGCCACTCAGTTAAAACGCAACATCAAATAAAGAGATACCAACACCTTGTGAATAAACCCAAGCGACCGAAATATAACCAACCGAAACTAGCCGAAATTGATATAGTTGATAAATCACATAAAATTCTCGGTCCGCCAAAAAAAGCAAAAAGTATTTGAAGCAGAAAAAAAGTTCTCTTGCGAAATTTTTCAATAATATAGTTTTGGAAATACTTTAGTCAATTATTGTATATTCTGTTGATTGTTGAATGTAAAAATATGTAAGAAGTTTTCAAACAATCTATCTTTAAAATATACTGCAAATAACACCAGGTGATCGAATTATTTTTATCCGTCTTTTTATTCTTTTTATTAATTTTTTTTTCAATGTGTTGGGAAAATTTGTCGCCGTGTTGATAGCTAGAGTCCCTTCCTTCATGAATAGTTTAGTAAGCCGGCTGCCGGCCGGATTTGTTTTATTTGCGGGCCTGCACAAACATTATTGTATTTGTTTTGTTTTAGCAAGAAGACTCCAAATCTGTGGCTTTTATGTTAACAAAAAATAACTTCCTTGAAATGGATATAGTGCGTATTGTTCACGATATCACTTTCTCTTTATGATTTCCAGTTTATATAACAACGTCAGAATGCTAGATATTCATATGTAATGCATATTATGTATTGTTCAAGACATTTATAAGATTCATGATTATCTCTCTCTTTTACATGTAACGATCAAATTGAATGATTATAATTGTAAACTTCTTCTTTATCGGTTAATTGATTAAGAGTACACTTTTTCTTTCGATTCGGAGAAAATTATACTCTTTGTCTCAAAATGATTGTTCAGTTTTGGAAATGCGATAATTCAAACATCGACAATCATTTACTAATTTAATTGGCTGAAAAAAATAATCATGTAAATAATTCAGTAATAAAATTATGTCTTAATTACTTTATTATTTAATTATTATGTTGTACAACAAAGAATAAGTAAAAGGATATTGGTATATTTGTAACCACGAAAAAGGAAAAGAAGGGAACTACACAAATTTTGTTTCAACACCCTTGAAAAATGTATAAGCCTGAAAGTTTTCGTCACAACAAAGATTAATGGAAAATAGAATACGTGTTAATTAAAATGCTTGCACAAAGTAATAAAAAACATGTCAGCTGGAACTTGATGTCATAACTCCGTCACCAAACTTCAGGACCTCCTCGATGTCAATCAGATTTCTCCATCCCAGGCCATGGAAGCTGCCACATTAAACATTTGTAATCCTAGGTTCAGCATTCGAAATCCAATATGCTTATTTTCAGCTCAAAATAATGCATGCCATTTCAATTGATTAATTTCATATGGAGAATCTTCACTCATCATACTTCACATTAGGTTTTTTTTTTTTTTTTTTTAAAGAAAAGCCTATTACATGCTTTCGACAGTATTTTAGTTCAAAGAAAGTATAACTTATTTATACATTTAAAAAAACGTATTTAAGATTTAGAATCGATTTTGTCGTCAGTCCTAACATTATTGGTCCACTGACTGCGAATAATAATCTCTAAATTTGACGAACATGTTAGCTTAATGATCGATACTGTCCATCACCCACGAAAATATTTCTGCTGCTATTATATGTAAATTAATAAGTATAGAAAATGTGAATGTAGTAATTATGATAAAAGCAAAACTATTTGAAGGGTGGGAGAATAGAGAGAGACGCCGGCCAGAGGGATTAGTTTAATTAGTCAAAATATTACCTGCTCTGGAAATGGACCAGTTATCGTCAGTATCAAGAGCCCAGAAGAAATAACCACCAAGTCCCTGAGCTTTTGCAAATTTCACCTTCAAGATGATCGTCAGGACATCATCGTACCCAACCCAAGTAGTTCCTGAATACGAATAAGTCGACACAGTCGTTTTATCAAACACTACCGTTGCATCAAACGCCGCATTGAACTTCAATATTTCATTGTATCCTAACACCCCCTGGACACCCGGTCCGACCGATGTGGCCGGAGCTCCGATGCCGTTATTCGCCAGATCCGACAACGTCCATGATCTCCCGTATATAGCCAGCCCCATCGCGATTTGTTCCGGGTTTATCCCGCTGGATTTCCACGTCGAAATTCCGTAGCTCGTGCTGACATTGCTGGACTTATCGTAAAGCAACGCATTAGCACCGGTCAATGTTGGTTCCCAGCCGCCGTGGTAGTCGTAGCACATCGGGTTGAGGAAATCGACGTATTCTCCGATGCGATAACCAGGGTAAACACGAGGGATGTTGGTGTTTAAGGTCACGGTTGTGGTGTAATAAACTGCTGCGGTGATCAAAAGGGCTGGTTTCCCTGAAGAAATGGATTCCTCGGTTGCGGCGTTACGCCAATCCCGGAAAAGATACACGAGTTTGTTCATTTCCCGGGGAGTTCCGGGGAATTCCCAGTCAAGGTCTAGGCCGTCAAACCCGTATTTCCGAGCTACGTCGATGGTTGAATTGATGAACGCAGTGCGGTGTTCCTTTTTCGCCGACATCATGGAGAAAACGGTCAAGTTCGCGGCAGCTCCTCCGATGGACAACATGGTCTTCACCGAAGGCGATTTCGAGTGGATTGTGTTTGTGAAAACTGGCATCCATTGTTTATCAGATGGAGTGATGTTTAAGCTGTAGGTTTCGGGATTGAGAGTGGCGAAAGCGTAGAATATGTGTGTGAAATAACCAGTTGGGATGGCTGATGGAGGGACTTTATCGGCTTTCCAAGAAGGCCAATATCCACCTTTGATTCCTGTTGTTGATGATGAAGTTTCGGGTGAAAAACTTGATGAAATGTTTCCAACATGCATGAGGATGATGACTAGGAAAAATGACAACAAATTCAGCTTTGTTGCCATTTTGGAGTAATGTTTATTTTTCCTTCTTATTAGATGTTATAACTTAGGTAGATATATATAGAGAGAGAGTAGACATAATGATCTCTTGGATTGCTGTATTCAATTCCAATGAGTACTTTTCTTGTTGAACTTTTCTATGTTGTAATAGTGTCCTGAGCTGTTGTACTGTCGACAAGAACATAATTAACCTGTGAGAATTCTGATAGTTTGAAATTTGTTTGTTTGTAATATAACCTTGTCCACTGCACACATGTAATAACCTTATTTTTATTTCGATTTGTATAAATTGGTTGAATCTTTTTAGGTTTAGTTAATTTCTTGAACTTCATATATTTCATTTAGTAGGGGAAAGTTTACTAATTTCACATTAAAAAAACAAACAAATTATATTACGACACAAAGTTTTGAATTTTTGATTTCCTGATTCATAAAAAAAAATGACCCTTACCTCGCCATCAACTCTCGGACAGTCACTGGTCCTCCACGGACTTTTGTTTTTTGTTTCTTTTTTTCTGCTTTGAATAAAAGAAACTAATCCATATATATATATATATATATATATATATATATATATGTTTTGATTTATGGTAACATGATATGTAAGGTCCAATTAAAAATGTATAGGAAAAGGGAGTCTAGTTTGACAGTACTAGAAAACATACGTATGGCGACAAATTGCGTATTATGGGAGAATAAGGTCAAAGTTTTTGATCGGCTCCAGATTTGGTCGATGTCCTCCAAATGTAACCAAACAAATGCATGATTGTGCTTCGGTAGCGTAATATGCATGGAGAACAAGGTCAAAGTTCAACCTGCTCTACATTGTATCCAACTCTTTTGGTATTTTGTTTTGAATCACAATCATTGAGAATCCAATTTTGCAGCAGATTTCTTGGCATCTTTAGCAATAGAGAGTTCAGGAGGATATCAACGCTTTAGTCCATCAATATACGGATATCAAATCGTAGTTAGAGCATGATATTATCGGAATCTCTTATCCACGTAATGTAATAGTTGGAGTTATTTAGGCTTTTAGTCTCTTCTTCGGTACCAAAAAAAAGAAAAGATGGTTTATTTTGAATTTTAATTTTTTAGTATATAAAATTAGTAACTAAATGTTAAATCAACCACATATTTGTCCAACTTTAGACATCTAACAAAATTTAAATATTAATGGAGATGAGAATTTAAATAGATATTTGACTTAAAAAAAAAATCCACATATTATTTGGAGTATAATTATAAATTTGAGAGTACATATCTGTAAAAATCTGATTTTTTGTTACATGAATCACTAGATATTCTAAAATTTTGAAATGGACATGTCCGAACACCTAACGTAGCTTTCATTCAACCTGCATGGACCCTAATAACAACGTTTTTAATGTAAACAGACTCGAACAGGAAATCGGCTAAAGGGATCGAGGACAAATTCCTTATTTCTTAACCCTGCAAAATTGATTAAGAGGCTTGGAGATTGGTCTTTCAACATGGCTCAAATTAAATACTCTATCTGTTGTTAAAAAATGATCCACGTACAAATTTCACAACCCTATATAAATTATTTTTTAAGAACATAATATAATATAGCAAGTGCTGCCGCTGCCTAATTCCCCGTGAAATATTGCTTGAACCTTGAATGAGTCTAAATTTATTCATTTACATATTTTACTTCGAATTGAAGGCATCCAAAAAAGTTGAGGATTAATTTAAAACGGGATAAGTTGGGTTGAAGCCGGTACTCATCTCATTTTCTTCCCATTGATCGATGCTGTTATTCCGTTATCGTTTGTTTTTGTTCTTTTAAGTTGTTCTACTTCCTCATAAAATGAATTGTTTCGTCAATATACTTTTTTCTCTTGCATCATTCCTCTTTATCAGTATGGGTTTTCTCATCACAGTGGTGCTTTTAATTATTTAAAGAAAAAACAAAATAATTAAACAGGTTACAATCGATTTTTTTTTTTTTTTTTTGATAAAAAACTTTCAACTAAAGATTTTTTAACTTATTCATATTCTTTGTCCTTTCTTTAGTCTACCTCTTGTTTCAAGAAATAAATTGGAAACATGGAACGTGAATTATTCAGGAACAAAATTCGGATAAGAGTACCTTCAGCACCAAAGGCTTGCTTCCTGTAGATTTAAATGTAGCGATGGAAGCTTCCTATTAATAATACTTCTATTAATCCGAAGAGAAATCGAAGAAAATAAATGAAACTATTTACACTGCTTCTTTTTTATTTTTATTTTTTTTTCAGAATGATAAGTTTTTGAACAGTTCTTTTATGAATATCACACACTGGCCAGCCCTTATAATCCCTCGTATCTGTCCCAGAATAATAATCCACTTTGTTGAAATATTTTAGTTAAAAAAATAAGTCTTGGGGGGATATAGTGGTACCATTTCCCAAAAGTTTGTTTGCATATGCTTTTCATTAATTGTTGCTCAAGCCTCCATATGGCATCAAATGAAATTCCAAGGAAAAGAAAAACTTTTCATGCTGTCTGTCTAGACTACTCACTAAAATAACTATTTACAGAGTCGATATATGAAGCTACAATAAGTCATGGAATTACGCTAACTCGTGGCATGGGGGGGTTGTTGTGCACTTCAATAATTGTACGAAACAAAAAAGACTAATGTATACATGTCTCCATTCACTATATCATGTTCACACCGTTTAACAGAAATGTGGGTTCTATCTTCTGTAAAGAGAGGTTGAAATTATTAAAATGCCTTATTATTATTGAAAGGAAAAAAAAAATGAGTGTCCTCATTATACATGAAATTATATATAGTGCGTTCGTTTATTGGGGAAGGCAGAAAAAAAAAAGTTGCTTGAAATTGAAATATTAATAATAAAAAAAAAGTAACATTCTTAGGCTATTGGTTTCACTGGTCTCTGTTTTTCAGGCTACTTTACAGGACATTCTCGAAGGAACATTTTATATTTTATTTTGTACACTATATATCCTCCACGCCCCGTGTCCGAAACCAGTATCCTTAGTCCTCACTCACATTTCAGCAGAATAGTGCCCTTTTGTGAAAAGAAAACAAAAAAAAAAAATTCTTCCAACAAGTCTTTGGATCACTCTTAGCCATGCTTGTTTTGCCGAGCATATTCCACGAACGTTTTTAATCCTTAGTTGCATATGCAGGCTTCATTATTCAACCATTGCAGCTTGACCCTTGAGTTGAGCTGCTTGCATCTTAGCTTAGCAATTTTTATTTGATTGTTTTTATTTTTAACCAAACAAACATTAACTATACAGTATTCCCCTGTTATAAACAGGGTGTATATATGAAATGTTTCAGTTTGTTCTTCACCCGCGCCCGAAGAAAGACACAAGTCCATACAATATAATCAACTGAAATGCCAGTATGCCACCACATCATTGAGTCTTCAAAATTCATGATACAAGGACATGATAAAGGTTTTAATCACAAGTCAGAGCGAATGTATGCCGAGAAAGAAGAACTCGGCACTTAGATTCACCGTTGCTTGGAAAGAGGGACCGAATTCAAGTATAACGATCGATAATCAAATTTCAAACCTTTCATTCATCTTTTCCCGGAACCAATGTATCCAAAGATAAGTTCTAAAAATGCATGATATGATAATAACGGGTTAGAGTAATCACGTACATACAGAGATTTAACTTTGATCACCACTCATAAGTAATAACCAACAACTAGACAAGAATAACTTGTAGCCACCGTACAATACAGAGCATCGTTCAAGAGAGGTTTTCCTTACCAGTTCCAAGTGCAACAGAGTAGAGAAACTGGGATATTCTAATCAAAGTCAATGTTCATGCACATGAGGCAAAAGACAGCGGAAAACAAAAATCTCATGCCTTTTAATGAAAGCTGATACCAACATACACAACAACTCCCTACCCTGAGACCCACAGAAATTATCATACTACATAAACAGAAAGCAGCAAGTAGTACATAATCAGAACTTATACAGAAGCTAGAGTCTCTACATGTTAAAATGCATCTGACCATTTGAATCTGGATAGATCCTTCAGCCGATTTACAGTAGTCTCTGGAGCTACATCAGCAATTTCTTTCACAAGAATGGCTTTCGTGTCAAAAGACACAATTTTACCAGGGAGTGATATCAGCAATTCAGGCTCTTCCCCTTTCTCATCGGCACAACATAGCACAGAAAGTTTACAACGGAACCATTCATTATGAGGATCATTCTCCTCACATACCATCAGTGGATATAGAGTACCTAGAGGAGAAAGGTCCAGGCAATATTTCACATTCCAACATGAATAATCCAATTCCATCACAAAAACATCAAAAAGAAATGATTTAGGCTCCTTTAGCCCGATAAGACATAGATCTCCACCCGACACACCAAAAAAGATAATTTCAGGCCAGGATTTAAGGGATTGTGGATCTTCAGGAATACAAACTGCAACCTTGGGAAGTATAGCCGGAATATGCTTCTCACAACCATTTTCGATATCAAGACATATAGTGAACCACTTTGAAGAAACCCAATGAAGATCTCCATTCCATAATATTCCTTTCCAATCAATAATATCCGAATAGTAATCAAGATTACAGTTGGCATCCAGCCAATCCCCAGTCTCGGATGCATAAATGGCTACCCTAAACCACCAATCATCATACCAAACGTACACCACCCTATAATTATCAGATTTCAAAGGATCATATGCAATATTCAAATCCACAAACAAATCACTAGCTTGTGGGCAAATCATAGGGCAGTCATACTTGGCAGATCGTTTGGGAAAGTAAGTGACCCGAGCATAGAGCTGGGGCAGAAGCCTACGGTGACAAGTAGTCGGATTATACACATAAAAAAATACACCACCAAAATGATTTTTTAGAGCAATTGCCACTAACCCATTGCACGAATGAAATCCTAACATTTTAAAACCTTCAATTGAGTTCTTAAAGTCAGAGACAGTCTTAACCATTGAATCAACATATTCCTTGCCTGGAGAAATGAAATTCAGCTCAACCTCCTCGTCAACCGCCCGGGACAAGAAGTGGGGGCCAGTACGCTCCCGAAGATGAAGGCGCCGGAAAGTGGTGTCCAGATCTTCGTTACCGGCTCCAGCATTTTCCGGAATTGTTGCAGAATTGGAATTGTAGTCAACGAGGAGCTGGGTCTTTGAGTTTCGATTAGAAAACTCATCGGAATCGGAATTTGAGGGTGAGGGGCGGAGGAATATTAGTCGTTGGGTGTGAGAAATTAGGGTTTCTTTCGCCATTGATTTTGGGGGATTTGGGATGTTTGGAATTTGTGGGAATGATATATTGCAGTTCGAAATTTGAAATACTCAGAAATACTCAGTAATCACGAAATTCAACCCTCCACGTTTTATCAATTTTTTTAAATCCCTAAAATAATCAAATCTTACTATATTAGAAACAAAAATCACACTTTAGAAAGCACCACCATTTGCCATGTGCCATTTCCACATCATATTTTTAAAATAAATTTTTATTTACACATCAGTTTTCTAGACTTAAAAGGCAAATTCAGTCCAAATCCACCACCACCTCTTATTTTCGCCAAAACAAAAAAAAAACACAGCTTCATAAAAAACACAAATCCTCATCTCCATCTCGACGACAATCGACTCCCTAATCAATCCCTTCTCCACAATAAAATAAAAATAAATTACTCATCAATCATTAATTGAGAATATGTGGTGAAATATACTTCTTTCCTATTAGCATGTTCAATCTTTTCATTAGTGATGATCAACTACATCCTAATCAGATAAAATTTCGACTTCAAAAAATATTCTCTTTACCTCTCTATATAAACACAAAGGGAAAAAAAATTCTCATTGATGTTGCTTTCGGCCGTTGTGGTGGTGCCATTACAGATATTAAAATTTAATGATTTTATATCCACAGATCATTTCTACGGCTTTTATTATTTTTTGTTTTTCTCGTTCAAGAATAGTGTTATTATTATTATTTTTGTGCGTCCACCCATTACAGGTACCGTAGCCGTTGTCAGGTAATATGATGTGATTTCTTATATGGGTAGTCAGCTTAGAATTTTTGTATGATTTTAGTTCTGTTTGAATTGAATTGATCAATTGGGTTTTTGTCACAAAGTGTGGTTTTTGTAAATTTTTTTTTATGTTTTATTCATTTAGAGTGGTTTTCTTCTTTTTAATTATGGAGTCTCAGTTTTTTTTCGTATATGGTCAGTTATGAATTGTATTTTTTCTTTGTTTAATTGCTTTTGATTTTGTTTCATACTCCCAGTTGACCAATTATTATTATTATTATTATTATTATTATTATTATTATTATTATTATTATTATTATTATTTTTGCAAATGATGCGCATTTTTTTTTTGTGTTCGGACTTTCAAGAATATACTTTTTGGATTTAGTTTTTGGACTTTTTTAAATTACTCATCATATAAATGGTTCAGGTCGCTTCTTCTAACTAATTTATGGGAAAGCCTTTTTTATGTATTTGAGGTGGAGAAGGAAGGAATGGTGTTTCTATGTTTATTTGTGTTTTACACCTCATTTTTATCTACAGGAAAAAAAAAAATTTTCCAATTTTTAATGGACTCTTTTACTTTTTTTTTTTTATCCTTGCCATGGTGAGGTGAGTTCTTTTTTGCTATAACTTGAAACCTATGCAAATTTACATTAATTTTCATTCTCATATTTGTGATCAACCAGTTTCAACAATTAATCAGTTTCAAAATCATATTTTTGATATTTTACTAGCTATAAGCCTTTGGAAGAAACAGTTCAAACAATTAAACGTATACCCTTTGGAGGAAACTAACTACAAAGCTATTATAAATCTCCAAAACCAAGTATTGATTTGGCACGACAAATGAAGAACATCAATAAATCATCTTACTAATATTTAAACTTATTAGGATGCTTTTATATTTTGTCTAACATTTACTTCAAGAGATATACTTGATCAAGTTTATTTATATTTAATAAGTAACACTTATAAAACATTTCTAAAATATTCAAACATTTCTAAAACGTACCGGCCCAAATACACTTTCTTTTTTTTGCCAAATACAAACATGTCTATGATCACACTTATAAAACATTTATAAATTCTTCAAACATTTCTAAAATATATCAGGGCAAATGCAAAATATTTTTTTTTCAAATACAAACATTTCTAAGATCTACAGATATACTGGGCCAGGGTCGCGCATTGTGCGACTAGACATCACTAGTTTACTAAATACATCGATTTTTCCAATTGCATAGTCCACAGGGGTGTAGATTTCTGACATGATGTGTTACATAAACAGTCCGAGATTATATGACACACTGACTGTATTAACGTTTTTATTAAATTTTTGCTATAAAATAAATTATAAAATAAACGTGTTGTAACACAACGAACTGAAGCCCTTCGCATCTCCATTGCTTTTTATTATACTACTCCCTCCCGTGCTTATTATAAGCTATTTTGATATCGTATTAAGTTTTGCTTAAAATGTATTTTTAGCTGAAATAAATACTTTAAAAATATTTCATAATAATTAGGAGAATACAACGAATGTAAAAATGTATTTTTAAGGTTTTTCTCTAATTAAAAAGACATTTTAGATTAAACTTAGGATGAAATCAAAATGCTTTATAATAAGGTCTGGAGAGAGAGAGTATATTGTTTTATTATTTCCATTGCGATTTTGCCACAACAAAATTCTAATATCCAATGTATATTTTAAATTTTTTCATATTTACTCTTCATAAAAAGTCAACTTCCTTATCATCATCTCTCCAACATCTCTCGTTTGTTCTTTCTTTCTGAAACTCTAAATTAGACATCATTTTCTCCTTCCATGGTTTGCTGTCAATACTTTTTGAAAATTGAAAACAAAATATGCACTGGATGTTAGAAATTTTTATGACAAAATAGCTACCCATTTAAACTGTCTTCAAGTAATTTCATGTCAAAATTCAAAAACATTTTTAATCGTTTTTTGCGTCTAAGAAAATTCAAATCAATTTATATTATGTTCAGAGTTTCTCGATTTCCGAAATAAGAAAAAACTCATTTTCTTTCTAGTTCATATGATACTCCCTCCATTTCTTAAAAATGCTTTGATTTGTCAAAAATTTTATTCATTATATTCTTCTAAATGAAAAATAAAGCCTTAAAAATGTATTTTTATATCCATTGTGTGTTCTATAAATTATAAGAAAATATTTTTAATGTTTTATTTTAATTGAAAGAATATATAAATTAAAAGTTAGGACAAAATCAAAATACTTTGTAATAAGGAATGAAGGGAGTATTTGCCAAATCTATTTTAGACCTATTAAGTATTTCATCTGATAAAAATTAATAACGGTTTTTCGGGTTCAACATCATTAATAACTTCTGATAATCACAATGACAGGAACATTTTACAGTTGGGTTATCAAAATTTTTTTGAAGAGATAATTATAATTTTTTTTTTTACGAAACAATGACCGTAATAATTAGAATCTTCCCCCCCCCCCCTCCCCCCCCAAGAAAAAAAAAACAAGGTTACGAAGTTTATCAAGTATATCCGCTATTGCATGTTCCCAAAATAAAAATCTAATTAAAGCAACTATATGATGATACCTTAATTTCGTGAAGGATAATAATATGTACAAGTAAAAATTACAAAAAAAAATTAGAAAGAATGATGCTTAAATTATTTGAATTAATCCTTAATTTTAAATGCATAAATCCCAAATACAGTATATGAATATTAAAATTAATGGATGTGATCATTATTATCACATTTACTTGTAATTTTGTTGTATATATCGTTATTCTTTAGTAGTTTCGTGAAATACAAGAGTGCATATTTGTAAGACGATTAATAAACAGAAAGAACGGAACGTCTTTAAAAAAAAGGGATGCAATGTTCAATCAGGAAAGAACAAAGTAGAATCGAAAATCATATAATAGTTCATCCTAACATTCAATTACGCATTATGCTTCTAACAGTCTTCAAAATCCTAACATAATCATAAAAGAGTGAGGAATCCTTTCCCTCTAATCCATCCCTACTATTCACGTTTCTGCCTGCAAGATTATTGCAGGGACTTCCACCAATGACGAGATCGAAACCTCCAAGGGAGGTTATCAACTCTTGTATTGTTTTCTCATTGAACCTTTGAACATCGTCAAAGTGGAGCAATTTGCCTGGCTGTAGTGTGTTCTCCCACCAGGTCTGAATTATTTTTCTGTTGTCTTCAGATATCTCAACAGAAACAACATTCTTCAATGGTATACCAAGTCTGTGGAGAGCAACTTCTGCACCACCTATCCCAGAGAATAGCGACAAGACATTGATGCCTTCTGGGTACAAGCGCTTGAGTACAGACAGATGATATGCAACCGTATTGACCTAAAAAGGACAAAAAAGGAAAAAGCAAAAAAAGAAAACAAAACCAGCAGCAAACAACATTAGCCATTAGTAAACAACATTAAGATCAAGGATAAGATCATGTCAAATTAGTTTCAAACAGTAGAAAAAAATGCTAACCTGGAATGAGTTGCCAAGTGACTTGTATCTGTTTCTCGTACTCATTCCAATACCCCTTGTATGATTTTCTGGAAAACCCAATAGTATCTCTATTTCATTAGGCTCTAACTGGGCGACCCGGTTCTTCCCAACCCACAACAAATTCCATCTCCTACATTTACCTAGAATCTCCTTCTTCACTTTTTCCGGAGGTTCCGCATGGAGTTCGTCATATACTTGAAGAGTTTTACGAATCTCCTTTTGCAAAACGGCAGTCGGAGTTGATGTCAGCAAGCAGTTAAGCTGAGTTCGCGGGTCCCAAGACGGCCACCATTCCCTGGTATACGGAAATGCCTCGTGAATGGTGCATGGAAGAATTGGAAGAAGCTCAGATCTGCCCTCGATTGGTAAATTGTGAACGTATCCCCTCTTTCTCGCAGCAGCGGAGAAGTATTTGGAATCGACAAACTCCGGCACGACATTGTAAAGGTAACTGGAGATGGTTTTCCACACGCCTTTTGGAGTTTGCGCAACATTCTCATAATAGAAGTATGGGGGACCCATTGCTTGCTCTGGAAGGATTCTGCTTGTTACAAGCTGGGAATCATGTACACGAGGCAGTCCGAAGCCTACCATTGGTTTTGGAATGCGAATTCGTTCAATCTCTTGAGATTGTATTTCCCTCCGCTTTTTCGTCCCTTGGGACTCAGGATACACCGCCCGTTTCTTTCTTTTCCCAACTTCGCGGCGAGAATCATTCAGGTTTGGCTTTGAATTTTACAACAAGGAAAAACACACAAGGTGATCAGCATCAAGAACCCTAAAACTGATGGTAGATCAAGTTTTATAAAAGGAAAACGAACACTCTCACCTCGGTAGGTAGATTCGCAGGTTCTTCTTCTTCTTCTTCTTTTCTTGCTGTTTGAACAGCGAAAATGAAATCTGATAACTCATCAATCGAAGCTTCTGGACCTATACATACACAAAAAGGCACAAAGAGTTTCAACTAATGCATTCAAAATGTCTTAGTTTAATGAGAGATTAGAATTTAGAAATATGTATTTAGGCCTAAGAGCTGGTTCCAACTTCCAATGCAAAGTAAACCACTCGTAAAATCCAAAGCATAAGGCAAGTATACAAGTCTCGAATTCAACTGCAAAAATCCTCTTCATTTACTCACATTTTTCAGTAGCTGTTTCAGCATCCTCAACCGAAAAGCCCATGTTCTGTAAAGTAAGCTTTTTTTTATCATTCTCCGTCAAGAGTTCCATGTTTTCCTGCAAAGGTTTTAGTTGATTAGACATGATCATTCAGATAAGTTTTAAAGGATGCTTTAAAACGATGTTTTAGTGGATTAGTCATGATCATTCAGATACGTTTTAAAGGATGTTTTAAGACACCAACTCATAGAAGCTATTTTATGAAATTAGTGAATATGTGAAGCAAGTATTGGGAACTTAATTGATCGATCTATTGAAGATTGTCAACTTAATTCATTCATCGATCTATTGAAGATTGTCAATATTTGACATGCAATCACAATATCTATCACTTGGAAAACTTGAAATACATAAAAGTCTAAAATCCAAAAGTCTAAAATCCAACAAATGGTGATACAGTTTCTTCGAGATATTTAATATTTTTCCCAAAAACCAAATTGTATCTTTTTAAAGAACAATTTAGAACACGACTTCATTTTCTGGAATAAAAATCAATCAGCTGACAAGGACTAACCATAATATTATTTAATTGTTTTTAGGCTGTTGTGCCGAAAGTGGCTAAAAATGGCTACTGGAAGATAAACAACACCACAGGGTAGCATGTATTATAGAAAGCAAGTAATGCAAATTCTAAGTTCTTGGAATACTTAGGCATCTATATACAAAGTTGTAATAGTTAACTATGTAGATTGAATCGGTAGGATGGTTTGTACAAAAATGAGTTGAAGTGAGTTGATTAATGAAAATTTACTTTTTACCCAAAAAAAAATAACTAAAAGAACAAAATATAACCAAATTGTCGAACAAATGGATTTTATTAGTACATTATTTATGAGGCCGCATTTTTAATCTTTTTGCAATTTTGACAAAGGGACATTCAAACGAGTCGCATAAACAATGCGGTATCAAAGAAATGACACACAACAAAAAATGTCGCATATACTACATGGCCTGATGACATTGACACAATTTTGCAATGAAGTGACTCAAAAAGTGACACAATTGTGGAGCACAATGAGCTAAAATTTTGTACATTCGTCTCCCTTGTTCTCGAAACACATGAGAATAGGTTTTAAAACTTATGATCAGTACCCCTAACGAACAGATTTTTTAGGGGTTTCTGTTGATCTTGTGGGTCTCCGTAAAGTACTACTATATCCGAAAGTGTACATGTCAGTTGGACATCAAGATTTGCAATTATGAGAAATTGTAGAGGTAGTTATAGAGAATGCAAGTATCAATTCTGGATAAAAGTACAGAAACCAACCATGCAACTATAAAACTGAACAAAGATTAACACACACACAAAAAAAAAAGGAGAAAGCAAGCACGAACCTCATCTTCGAACCAATAATCATTCCAATCATCTGAATCAGAAAGATAAAGTCTATTCTCGTCGTAACCTGATGAACATTCAGCAACATCGGTACATTTTCTCTCTTCGGCAGCTTCATTTTCAAGAGTCTGCAAAACAATAACAACCCCAAAATTGTTAGATATCCACTTTGCATTAAAAAATTAGTTGTGCATTCAAATAGATACCACTAGTAGACCTCTGAATTTGAAGAAACTGGGGAATAGTCATAACTGTCTCCACTCAAAAACCCTTCCTTTTTTTTTCCAAAATATTAATCAATTTAGTTCAAAAGGTTTAAAGACATAGCAGGAATGTACTTTGTTTGTGAATAACTAATTATTACATTATCATAACTAATTATTACATGGACCTTCAGCTTGTCACCCGATCCTGGAAGATATAAGATTTATGTGCCACGATCTGCGTGTTAAACATTTGGCATGGATTGATCATCAAGAAAACTTGGTTGCGCTTGCCCTAGCTAAATTTGGGAAAAATTCTGATTTAATCGAAACCTTAGGGAGTAATCTATCTATCTTTGTATCTTAATTGGTGCTGGACTATTTCCAGTAATCTTAATCAAAGTTTGTTTTTCTCAAAAAAAAAAAAAAAATTATTACATTGTCATAGTACCAATCTAGGTAGGTTGTAAATTAAGAAAAAATATATCAGGGTTCCTCTTATCTCTATTATGTATGTGAAAATCTTTGAACCCTTTCATTCAAATACATAATTTAATATTCGGTAGAATGCATTGTAATAATTTAAGTGCCGGATTATACTAATATACAAGTACATATTTTTTTAAAAAAATCTGGTCGTTTATGTGTTTCTTCCTAGACACGTAATTTTAGGAATTAGCATACAGAAAATAATGCACCATAAAAGGTCAAACTGGAAATTAAATTTAACAAACCAATCATATGCAAGGAAAAGGGGGTAATAATGCTCACCATGTATGTAAGAATTGCATCAACAATGGTTGAATCCTCAGATTCTTCTCCTATAGATGTTTTACATGTGTAAGGAATGCCAAACTATAAAGATGAAATGGTGTAAAAAAAAAAAAGAAAAAAAAAGAAGAAGTTTGTGATGTAGTAGTATACCATGTTCCTCGAGAGCTTTAACAACTAATTTATCCGGAAAACCCATCTCTAGGAAACGCTTGATGTTTCCAGAATGAGATGATGAACTTTCCTACAATGATACATAGAGAGGCAAAAAATATTAGGAATAATAAGCATATGATTTATAATATGTAATACTTTAACACAGAAATTTAGGAGGGTTTTATGGACAAACAACATAAATTCAAAAGAAATTCATTTTATTTCTTATACTCAAATGTCAATATAAAATCAACACAATCATACAACATTTCAAATGAATTTTATTTTTTACATTATTTTACAAAATATTCAATTAACTTTACTGAACCACCAACTCCCGCTGATGGACCACTGCTGGTTGGGAAACTAGCTGGATTCTAGCCAACATTCAGCCCAGTAGACTGGAATCTAGTTGGCAGTCGTCCATTGACAAGTGACAGTACGGTGGTGGAGGTTGGTAGTTCAGCGGATTTAATAAAAGTAATAATTTATTTTAAAAATTATGCATATAAATTTTTTAAAATTTTCACTCGAAATCATTTTTAAATGATATTTAAAATTTTAAAACAAAACAAGAATATTATGTATAAGAACCCTCGAGCTTACCGCCTTATCAAGAACATGAGCACTCCAATCAATGCTCCCGCTACCATCATTATTCTCTTGAACCTAACCAAAACAAGATCTACGTTAATTAAAAACTAGATGCTTGGCCCAGGCAGCCCTTCTATTTTAATTTTGTGTTAATAGATAAATGAATTCTTGATTTGAAAAAAATAAAATAACTACACATTTGGTTTTTTTTTCCCTTTTTAGCCAAAAATAAAAATAAAAATAAAAAAATCATCTGCCAAAGGAAAAAAATATATTGAAAAGTACAACGATGCAGAAATCATACAAAAGAATGTGGAGTAATAAATGGGATAAGTTTATGGGCAAATTTAAATATTATTTTAATTTGATTGATAAATGATAAATATTAGGAATTAAAATTGTGTAGCTATTTTTGTAAAGTAGCTTTTGTTTCTCCAGATAAGAATTTTTTTTTCTTTTAAAAAGGGATGACACGTGGCAGAATGGTTAATGCAATATGGTGCATTTGGAGCTAAAAATTTTTAATAAGAAATTGTCACATCAACATCTTATATTATGCTTTAATAGGGTAAAAGGGATCTCACATCAAACAACTTGAAAAACAGTTTGCTGGAACATTCTGGCCTTTTACTTATATACCAACAAAAAAAATAGAAAATGCATTAGATATCATATCTACAATCGAAAAACTCACCATTTATTCCGAATTTGGAATTCCTGTCGAGTGGTTCTCGCAAAATCTTGCCCTGAAAAAACACTACCAATATCTAATCTTCAGAACAAAAAAAAAAAAAAAAGAAAAGAAAAGAAAAAACTATGCACCAAAATCGTTTGTCTTTTGGTGGTCAACGCAGACAGGTCGGACGCAATGGCCACTTTTGGTTTTGGTCTATATATTTTTTTAGTAAAAGATTTTTTGCCTTTTTTAATATATTGAATATGTATTACTAAATTACTTTGTTTTCAAGATACGATTTTAGGACTATATCAAAGTTTCAAAAAACACATGCAAAAAAAGAAAAAACTGGTTAACGACTAATTGCCAATCATTTGTTTCTCAACACATTTAATCTTTACAATTTCAGAAGAAAATCCACCAAACTCATAAAATTGTCTCTAATGCAAACTAATGTTTTATCACATGAATAGTACGGGTTTCGAGACAAAGTATCAATAATGGTTTTCTTGGGGTGAAGAGGAGTTGAAAAATGATGCATTTGATCCTAATACGTGAATATAAATTTAACACAGAAATTGGACTTAAGGGAGAGTGTTAAGGTATATAATCTGTCCCGCATTCTCACTGTGAAGAAGAGTGACTCAGTATATAAATTTCAAAGACTACACCACTCATTATAAATTGGTTTTGAGATGGGAACCTAAAATACTTATATACTTTGACAAGACATCAGAGTAGGTTTAGAGAGCCACCTCTCAGTTTGTACAATTATTTTCTTGTCAATTGAGTAATCATCATCGTTATTTCCCCTAAATCGAAGTATATACAAAGTCAATTTATCACAAGGCTTTTGGTTGCTGATTTTGGTGATGTTTTTGTTTTCTTTTTAGCCGTTGTTGGGTTTCGGGTTTGGTAGTGCAATGCGCGACGGCGGGCAAAAGCACTGATTTTGGTGGAGTTCTTCTTTGTGGCTGATTACTGTCCTTATTCTTTAATTTGATCGTGGGTGCTCTTCATCTTTTTTTTTTGGACCAGAATTGAGTTTTGGTTTCATTCTGCTGGCTGTGTTTGTTATTATTTCAGCCTGCTATTTCTTTTCTTATTAAGTGGGAATTAAAAATCTGCTTCATTTAATTTGGTTCAAAAATCTGATTCTTATGTTCAATATCGTGTTTTGTTGGTGGATTAGCATAGATTACTACTACCCAGTCGCTTAATGATGTTTTTTCTGGAGTTTGGCGATATTCTAGATGCCAGAGTCATTTATGATCATGAGACCGGGCGATCAAGAGGGTTTGGATTCGTGATTTTTAAGAAGGAGCAAGGCATGTAGAATGCAATTGAGAGCATGAATGGTAACATTCTTGATGGCCGTAACATTACAGTCAGAGAGGCTCATTCCAACAACACTGTTGATCGTTTCGTTGCCAATGAGCATTCGAAGGTTTGCAGTTACCCGCTTGAATCATGAGAAATGGAATTCTTTGTTGAGTTTATTGCATTCGGCAAAGCAAGAAGGAACCAAAAGATTAAATCCTATGAACTCTTCCTATGATTGGATGTATGATTATGGAGCGACGCACCATATGAAGGAATTTTTGGATTATTTGTTTGATGTACACGAGATTGAGGCACGTCCTGTACAATTGCCAAATGGGGATGTAACTCTAGCTACAAAGGCATGAATAGTATATCTTAGTCGGCCTATCATTTTTTTAATGTTCTTTTCGTTCCCTCTTTGAAATGTCGTGTAATCTCTTTGTACCACCTGTTGGAAGATTCAGATTGTGTAGCTCCGTTCACTAATAAAAATTGTGTTGTCCAGAAAAGCACTTCGAGAAGGTGATTGGAGCTGGTGAACAGATGGAGGGACTTTATTTTTTTTCAAGGAATAGTGGAAGCAGTGGCGGCGCCAGTTCGTGTTGAAGGATCTTTGGACCTACGGCATAAATGATTGGGACATCCATTTTCTAAGGTTAATGAAAAATTGTGTGGTTTTGGTCCTAACGATAAGGGTAATGTTCACAATGAAGTGTGTGATGTTTGTGTTCGAGCCAGGCATACAAGGAATAGTTTTTCCCTCAGTAGAAATAATGCTTTGGAGTCTTTTCAATTGATTCACTGTGATTTGTGGAGTGCTTACAGTGTTCCAACTTTCTGTGAGGCACGTTATTTCTTGAATATTGTGAATGATTTTTCACGTGCAATATGGATTTATTTGCTTGTTGATAAGTCTGAAGTATCTGCAACTTTATGAAATTTCTTTACTATGGTGGAACGTCAGTTTAATCGATTGGTCAATACTGTACATAGTGATAATAGCACTGAGTTTGTTTGCTTGACCAATTATTTTCGAGCATCTGGTATTTTCATGAGACCTCTTGTGTTGGCACACCACAGCAAAATGGTCGTGTGAAACAAAAGCATCAGCACATTCTTAATGTTGCTCGTGCTTTACCTTTTTGCGCCAATTTGCCAATTGAGTTTAATTGGTTGCTGCAATTTCTGAGCAGGCTGAACATGGGGATGCCCTAAATTTGCATATAAATAGTCTTTTTCTTATTATTAAGAAAGGGAGGAAAAGAGGCACAACACAGGGAGCGACGGCTGGAGCTCAGGACAAGGATTTCTCTCCGTTTTCGTCAGTTTTAGCTCTGTAATGTCAAACATTAATTCTTGTGTTGTTGATTTCACCATGATTAGCAACTAAACCTCTTTTCTAGTTAAAGGATTTTATTGAAGTCTTGATGTTATTCAATTGTGAGATCTAACTGTTTGCTTTTCATCAATGAATTTTGAATATTTATTTATTCTCTTTGATGTGTATTGATGATTATTTGGCATTATTTGAATAGCTGGTAGCATTCAATTCTTCTAGATAATCTAATTTATTGAACAACAAGGTTTGTTTGTTCCTTATAAGAGACAATGCAAATAATTACTTGGTAAGTAATTTACTTGTGTTGTAAGAATAAATAATCAATTTTTAAGGAAACAAGGTTTGTTGTTAAAAATTGAATTGGGTCTTTGCTTGTTAAAAACTAAATCCTATGTGGTTCCAGGTAGTGTTTTCTGGCTATAGAGTGATTAATGAAGGTTTCATAGTCACTGGTAATTAAATAAAAAGACTGAGTTGTTAGAAGGTTCCAACAATGATAACTAATATATTCATCATTTGTTGAGTTAATGTTTGCATCAATGATCAGTTAGATACATCAAGGTGGAAATTATTCCTTTGACTAGAGTTGCTCTTATTATTTATTTTCTAAAAGTATCTTTTATTGTTCGCCAGTTATTTTTTGTCATCCATTAATTATAATTCAAAAATTCGTCCATTTGGTTACTTTACTTTTGATTAGAAATATTTTCATTTCCTTACTTCCTGAGGAGACGACCCTACTCATTGCTATACTACTAAATTCCTTAGGAGTAGGTTCTTTTATTTTTGTTGGTTTGACACCCACCATGGACAGTCTTCCCCCTGGAAAGAAAGCTATTGGATGTGAATGGGTGTACAAGATTAAACACCGGTCTGATGGCACTGTTGAGCATTATAAAGCTCGTCTCGTCATTCTTCGAAATAGTCTGGTTGAAGCACTTGATTATACAGAGACTTTTGCTCCTGTTGCAAAGATGGTGCCTGTTCGTACATTTCTTGCTGTTGCTACTGCCAAGAATTGGGAACTTCATCAAATGGATGTGCATAATGCATTTTTGCATGGTGATCTTGATGAAGAGGTGTACATGAAGATGCCTCCTAGTTTTCGCTTCGGCTCTCCTGGCCAAGTTTGTCGGTTGTGGCATACTTTGTATGGGTTGAAGAAGGCTCGTCGATGCTAGTTTGCCAAGCTGGTTAATGCTTTGATTTGGTATGGGTTTTGTCAGTCTTATTCTGATTATTCACTATTTACTTTGGAGCGTAATGGTGCGTGACTGAATGTTTTGGTTTATGTTGATGATTTAATTGTCTCCGGCAATGGTAGCTCTGTGATATTGCTAAGTTTAAGAACTATCTGTGTCATTGGTTCCACATGAAAGATCTTGGTAAATTAAAATATTTTTTTTGGAATTGAGGTGGCCAGGAATGCTACTGGCATTTTTCTTTGACATCATAAATATGCATTGGATATTCTCTCTGAAGTGGGATTGTTGGGTTCCAAACCTGTTGATTCTCCTTTGGAACAATATCATCATCTTGCGCTGGGTCAGAGTGTTTTTAAGCCTAATCCAGAGTGATATCGTCGCTTGGTTGGCCGTTTAATTTATCATGCTATTACTCGGCCTGGGATATCTTATTGTGTTCATATGTTAGCTCAACTCATGCAGTCTCCTATGCTTGATTATTGGGAGGCTGCTCTTCGCGTTGTGTGTTATTTGAAGGGTAATCCTAGTTAGGGTATCTTGTTGCGCTCTGATTGTGATTTACAGTTGTCTGCCTGGTGTGATTCAGATTGAGCGGGTTATCCTTTATGTCGTCGATCTCTTACTGGTTAGTTTGTTCAATTAGGTTCTTCTCCTATTTCTCGGAAGATGAAGAAGCAGCATACTATGGCACATTCTTCTGCCGAAGCTGAGTATCGTCCCCTGGCAGCAGTTACTGTCGAGTTGAAGTGGTTGAAATAATTGTTGTGGTGTTTGGGTGTCGATCATTCTCAACTGATTCACTTGCATTGTGACAGTCAAGCTGCATTACACATTGCGTTAAATCCGGTTTTTCATAAGTATACCAAACACATTGAGGTGGATTGTCATTTCTTGCGTAATGAGCTTCTTAATGGTCTAATTTTTCTTAGTTTTGTCCCTACTCGTGTGCAACAGCAGACATCTTTACTAAGGCTTTTAGGGAAGCGCGAATTTGATTATTTTCTTGGCAAGTTGGGCATTCAGAATCCTCATGCACCAACTTGAGAGGGGTATTAGTAAATCTTATGTAATATTTAATATTGTATACTGACGTAATAGACAGAGATTTTTCTCCCAAATTTATCATTCCCACTTTCAAATTGAATTCCTTCACT